AAGAAACTGAAAACAAAAACAAAAGTAAATGATAGCAGAAGGCAAGATAAATAAAGGAAAGCTTACGGAGATGGAAAATATATAGTAAATATATCTATATAGTAAATATATCTAGTAGATATATCAAAAGTTGTGGAGTTTCCTTAAAAATACAATGAAATTGATCAACTTTGTTATTCTGATCAAGACAAAAAGAAAGCCTATGTAACCAACATAAAAAATGAGAAAGGGCCAGGCGTGTTGGCGCACACCTGTAGTCCCAGCACTTGGGAGGCAGAGGCAGGAGGATCTCTGTGAGTTCAAGGCCAGCCTGGACTGCAAAGGGAGTTCTAGGGCAGCTGGGGCTACAGGGAGACCCTGTCTCAAAAAGACCAAAAAAAAAAAAAAAAGAAAAAGAAAAAGGAAAGCCAGGCTGAGCATGGTGGCACATGCCTTTGATCCCAGCACTTGGGAGGCAGAGGCAGGGGAATCTCTGTGGGTTTGAGGCCAGCCTGGTCTACATAGTGAATTCCAGGCCAGCTGGGGCTACAAGGAGACCCTGTCTCACAAAGATCCCCCCCACACACACAAAGAATGAAAAAGGGATCTCACTGCAATTCTGTATGGTTAAAAAGACAGTAAAAGGACATGGAGTGTTTGTAGCTCTTCCAGAACATAGTGGCTTGTTCATAAAGCCAGCATAAGATCGGTACCAAAGCCTGAATAAAGAATGTTATGAGCAAGATTTACAGGCAAACCTCACCTGATCACATGTACAAGTCTAAACCCAATGGTCTGTAAAAACACGTCATGTTAATTAGAGCATATATCCTAGGAATGAAAGTTTGCCTTAAAATATAAAACATAAGTCATTCATGATTTAAAAAATGAAATACTCATAGCAAACTGGGCATAGGAAAGGATTTCCTTACTGTAGTTAATGGCACACACAGAAGAAAGCTGCAACCCACTTTGTACTAAATTCCCCAAGAAATGAAGGGTGAGAGCACTGTTGTAAGCACGTCACATACGTAAGGCTGTAAAGAAATGACTTTATTAGCCCTGTGTTACAGATGAGTGAACTAATGCCTGCTGAAGTTGAACAGTTCCCAAGGTCCACGCAGCTGGGAGGTTTCTGGGAGAGGCTCTTATTTGTTCATATTTTTACTGGCATATTTTAATTATACATAATAAAAACCTTCAATAGGACACTTCCATACATGTTTATGAGGTATTTTACCATATTCGCCCATTACCCTCCTTGTCCACCACCCCCCCCTTCCCTTAGGAGGCTGCATTCTTAATCACCATGCTGCATGATCCTTGGGCTTATCTTAATTGTACCTAAAAGCAGCTCTCCAGGTAACGCTCACCTTTGTACCCTCACCAGAAAAATCACTGTCAGCAGAAGGGAATCTCATCCAGGGAGTAGCACTCACTGCCTTAGCAACTCGGACATCACAATCAAAGGTGTGGAGTATTCAGAGTGGACACTTTTAGTTTGAAGAGAAGCCTTTCAGTTACTTAGAAGTATAGGTCTTTAAAAGGCTATGAGGGGCAGGAAAGATGCCTGCTTTAGTAAAGTGCTTGCCCCATGCTATCACGGGCTGACTTTGGATCCCTCAGCTCTAGCATAAAAAGCCAAGCACAAAAAAAAAAAAAAAAAAAAAAAAAGCCAGGTGTGGTGGCACACGCTCGTAGTCCCAGCACTTGGGAGGCAGAAGCAGGCAGAGCTTTGTGAGTTCAAGGCCAGACTTGTCTACATAGTGAGTTCCAGGACAACTGGGGCTACAGGAAGACCCTGTCTCAAAAAGACCAAAAAAATAAGTAAAAAATAAAAAAGAAAGCATAATAGGTGTCTGTAGTCCCGGTGCTGGGAAGGCAGAGGCAGGAGGACCCCTGGAGCTTATTGGCCAATCAGTGTAGCCAAATTTGTGAGCTTCAGGTTCAGTGTCTCAAAATATAAGGTAGATAGTGACTGAGGAAGACACCCAGTGTGTGCGGTGCACACACGCACGCACATGCACATGTTAAGAAATACTAGTTTGGCCGGGAGTGGTGGCGCACGCCTTTAATCCCAGCACTCAGGAGGCAGAGGCAGGCGGATCTCTGTGAGTTCAAGGCCAGCCTGGTCTACATAGTGAGTTCCAGTCCAGCTGGGGCTACAGGGAGACCCTGTCTCAAAAAGACAAAAAGAAAAGAAAAAGAAAGAAAGAAAGACAGACTAGCTTAATTGGATGATTTTATGCTGTTAAAAATTCTGATATTTTTTCTTTCTAAGTCTTAGGTCAGTCTTCAGTGACTTTGGTTTGGGTTTACTCAGAAAACTGATATTCTAATCATTGCTGGTTGCGGCTTTAAAACAGCAAGTCAAAGCGTGAAGTTTTGGACTTTAGATTTCTTACTTCATTAAGATGCTTAGTTGGGCCAGCTGTGCTGTGGTGGGGCATACCTTTGATCTCAGCGCCCAGGAGGCAAAGGCAAGCAGGTCTCTGAGTCTGAGGCCAGCTTGGGCTCCATAGAGAATTCCAAGCCTGCTGGGGAAACATAGTAAGACCCTGCCTCAAAAATGAAAAACAGATGCTCAGTCAACCAGAGCTACATATACACTACCAATTACAGCCATGTAGTGTTAGATTGTGGGAGACAGAAAGAGGATTGATAATGGAAATTATTTTCTGTACACATAAAACATTTTGATGACCTTTCATCCTTTCAAATTTGTGAGAAATTTAAAATCAGAACTGTATAAATTCTTGAAAGTGATTTTTTTTTTTTTTTTGGAGACAGGGTCTCCCTGTAGCCCCAGGAGACCTGGAGCTCACTATGTAGACCAGGCTGGCCTTGATCTCACAGAGATCTGCCTGCCTCTGCCTCCTGAGTGCTGGGATTAAAGGCATGCACCACCATGCCCAGCAAAAGTGATTTTTTAAAAAATATTTTTATGTGTATGAGTGTATTGCCTGCATGTATGTGAGTGCACCCATGTTGTCAATGCCTCAGAGGTCAGAAGAGGGCCTCGGATTCCCCTGGACTGGAGTTAAGGACAGTTTGTAGCTGCCATGTGGGTGCTGGGAATCGAACCCGGGTCCTCTGCAAGAACAGTCAGTGTTCTTAACTGCTGAGCCATCTCTCCAGCCCCCAAAAGTGATTTTTAATAGATTTTTCTATGCCACACACATTCCTTATTTTTTCCTGTTTATTAAGCTTGGATTTTATCAACATATTTGGGCTATCTCCAATTTGATGTTTAAATAACAAAATAAGAAGATCTGATTATAAGGTGATTTCTAAGTAATATTTCTGATTCTAATGCCTCCAAGTTGGGAACAAGTGATTATGGTACACAAGCAAATTTCAAAAGCCTTTGAAGGAGTCTGATTGTAGACACTCTGTTGTTTTGGAAGCCTTTGTATTTATTTGACTGATTTGGACACTAGGTTCAATGGATTATACCGTAAAAGTCATTTACTGTTTCTGTGATGGTATGTATCATCATAATTTTCAAGATCTTAGCAGGAACCATCATGCCAAGAACTAAGGAGTTAGAGGGTGAAGGTGGGAGAAAATCCGTCGTGTTGCTACGAAGGCCGTCAGTTAGACCAAGTGACGGACAGGAATTCCATTTCTTATGTATAGTTTCACAGATTTTTTGTTTGTTTGTTTTAGGGTTTTGGTTTTGCTTGGTTTGGGTTTTAGGTTTTTTGGTCTTTTTGAGACAGGGTCTCCCTGTAAATCAAGCTGGCCTGGAACTCACTGTGTCAACCCGGCTGGCCTCAATATCACAGAGATCCACCTGCCTCTGCCTCCCCAGTACTGGTTTTAAAGACATGCCACACTACACTCAGCCCCGTTTTAGGGTTTTTGAGACAGAGTTTCAGTCTGTAGCCCAGGCTGGCTCTGTATGTGTGGCACTCCTCCTGCCTCAGCCTCAGAGCTGGAATTACAGCAGTGACACCATGCATGGCTGACTTTTGTAGGCCTTTTTAAATGTGTATATTTATAGCTTTGGTAAAGAAAAAAGTGATGAAAATCTGCCACAAAAGTGAAAGATAAGGACAGAAAGAAGCTCAGCTGGGCCATACTTTTGTCCCAACACTGAGAGTCAGAGTTGGGCAGATCTCGGTGAGCTTGAGGCCCACCTTGTCTACACAGCAAGTTGCAGGCCAGCAGGGGGTCAGGGGATGCTGGAGAGATGGTTTAGCGGTTAAGAGCACTGGTTACTCTTTCAGAGAACCTGCATTTAGTTCCCAGCACCCACATGGCAGCTAACAACCATCCATAACTCCAGTTCCAGGAGAATATGGCGCCCTCTTCTGACCTCTGTGGGCATTGTATAACATGGGTGCACTTACGTACATGCAGGTAGTACACTCATACACATAAAATAAAAACAATAAATAAAATATTGTTTAAAAAAAGAATAAACAGGTGTGGTGGTGGCACATGCCTTTAATCCCAGCACTTGGGAGGCACAGGCAAGTGGATCTTTGTGAGTTCGAGGCCAGCTGGGGCTACAGGGAGACCCTGTCTCAGAAAGACAAAAACAACAGCAACAACAAAAGAATAGACACCTTTCCTGGCTGGTAAACATGGAACAGACCTGTGCTGCTGCTGCTGTGCTCTCACCTCTTCTGATTTCCTATTGATGTAGAACATGATCCCAGAGTCTTCAGAGCCGTGTTCCAAGGAGACCCTTCTAGTCAATAAACATCCCAGCCAACTGTGGTGGCATACAGCTATAGTCCTAGGTGGCACCTGGGAGGCTGAAGCAGGAGAATCAGAGTTTGAGGTCTTTCAAAAATCTTCTTTTTAAAGGTTCACCCTGTTGGCAAAGCCAGTATCTCTGATATAATTAGTGAAAAGCCATGAATCTGGGCAGATTCTATCTGGTTCTCACTTTCCCACCAAACAACATTGCTGGCATATTCTTTGGCCTAATATTTGCTAAGTTAGAGTACTGACTGATTTCACTTTGAATTAAAGTAGTTCTATCCTTTTATTTTTCTGACTCTTAATAGGATTTTTCCAATTAAAGATGTGCCCCTGGAGACGGATGACCTCACCAACTGGCTCTATCAACGGTTTATTGAAAAGGAGGACCTCCTGTCACATTTTTATAAAACAGGTACACAGGGTCTTCTCCCATATACACTTTTCTGATGGTATTAGAGATTCTAAAGGTGTGCTTTAGAGGAGGTAACCATTTTTCATTTATTTAGAGACCCTAAAGAAATTAAAGGCATTTCAAATTTAGGAATTTCAGCTCAGAATTTATGTAATGACAGATCTGTGGTGTTGTGTCCAAGTTCTTCAGAGCCAAAGTGCAAGGATGGCATGATGAGCCTGTCACACAGTGTTCTAACCAAGTTCATGGGAAGACAGACACCCGCAGTTATACAGGTGGCTATAAAATGCCAAGTAACAGTCATATTTTGACATTGATTGGTTAATGCACACTGCAGTCATTTGAGGTCATTTTGTTTGTTTGTTTGTTTGGTTGGTTGGTTGGTTTTGAGACAGAGTCTTCCTATAGCCGCAGCTGTCCTGGAACTCACTTTGTACACCAGGCTGGCCTCAGAGATCCACCTGCCTCTGCCTGGGATTAAAGGCGTGCGCCACCATGTGCAGCTTTATTTGAGGTCATTTTTAACTGCGTTTTTCCTTGCCTTTCTCTTTCAAAGAAAGATTTTGTCATGTGATTTTAGTTGACTGTTACTCAGTCCCATTGCTGTGGGAGAAAGAAAGCAGAAAGTTGTTGCAGCAAATGCATGCCTTCACAGAGTGGCTCACAGGCTGAGTCAGAAAGCAGAGCCTGGGAGGCAGAGGCAGGTGAATCTCTGTGAGCTCAAAGGCAGCCTGGTCTACATGGTGAGTTCCAGGCCTGCTGGAGCTACTGGGAAACCCTGTCTCAAAAAAGACAAAAAAAAGAGATAGAACTGTTCTTACTTTCTTTTTCTTTTTTGCCTCGAACTATCAGAGATCTGCCAGCCTCTGCTTCTCAAGTGCTGGGATTAAAGATGTGTACCACCACACCCAGCAAGTTTTTTTGGTCTTTTTGAGACAGGGTCTCCCTGCAGCCCCAGCTGGCCTGGAACTCACTATGTAGACCAGTCTGGCCTCAAACTCACAGACATCTGCCTGCCTCTGCTTCCTAAGTGCTGGGATTAAAGACGTGCACCACCACACCTGGCTACTGTTCTTACTTTCTTTATGAGAAGGGTTAAGTTTACTTTTTAAAATTTCAAGGATACAAAGTTGGTTATTTCTATTTGGGAAGAAAAGGAAAAATATGTTTAGCTCCCTTAAGTTTTAATATTCTGTATACAGTGTAAAAACTATAATGAAGCTGGACCTGATGGCATAGGCTTGGTGGCTGAGGCAGGGGTATCCCGAGTTCAAAACCTGCCTGGGTAGCTTCGTGAGACCCATCTCAAAATAAAAATTGAAACTGAGGCTGGGGATGTGGTTACATGATAGAGCACATGCCTAGCACGTGTGAAGCCCTGAATTCAATCTGAAATACCAAAACTACAGTGAGAGAACATGAGTGAAAGAGGAAGAAAGGAAGTAAAGGAAGAAAATCAACGCTGCTCCAGTACCAGGCACAACAAAACACCTTCCCAGACTGCTGTTAGAGGCCGATTTTCCTAGCACCTGAACAGTGCGGGAAGGGGAACAGAAGACGTCCTGGGTGCACGAGTGACCATGGGGTACCTGTTTAACCCAAGCTTAGTGGGCAGCATGAGGTGATCAGAGAACAGCAAGGCCTTCCTCTTTTGGCTTCTAATAATTTGTCCTAAATTGTGGCAACAATGGTGAGCCTCTCTTGAAGAAAGCCACTTGCTAAACCTTGAGACTGGAATGTGCCCCTGCAAATGCTTGAGAACAGAAAATCCCTTACGAGCTTCCCCTGGGGAAGCCATCTAGCTTTCCTTTCCAGAAAAAAATGTAGATATGTTTATTTTATATTCTCTCTTTTACTACTAAGATATATTTCATAAACCTTACTGTATTTTGATTGTTTTTTCATCTTTTTTCTTGGGGGGGGTGGCAGTCCCTGTAGCCCCAGCTGGCCTGGAACTCACTATGTAGATGGACCAGGCTAGCCTCGATCTCACAAAGGCTTGTCTCTGCCTCTCAAGTGCTGAGATAAAAGATGTGTGCCACCATGCTCTTACTGTATTTTTGAGAATGTCAGTGTTATAATAACCACTTTGTACCCCTCCCAAAAAAGCCTCACATTTAATTTGTAACTAAAGGTCTTAGTAAAATTATGCTGTCGCAGAAATTATTTGATGTCAATATCACAGATCCTATGTCCTGCCCACTGTGGAACTCTGGATGTCCAATGAGAATCAGGGCAACCAGAGACAGTAAGCCAGGCTACTGGGAGAAAGCATGGGCCGGGCCACTGCAGATTGAAGGGCAGGGAACAGAGGCTAGCAGGTGGGCCTTACTTATCTGGGATGGATGTCAGTGAGTGAGCCAGTCACCCAGGAGGTAGAGTGTTTGTCAGAGTAAAGACAAAGGCTGGGTTGCAGGTCAGGGCTAAGCAGTTTAGAAATTGTGTGTTAGTGGAAATCTCTCTCTACAAAGTAGTGAATTTCACAGAAAAACCTAACTGTGATTTAACTAACACACAGGAGACCCGTCACTGCAGTAGAACACATTGCTCTTTCTGTCTTGTCTTCTAGGGGCCTTTCCTCCTTCCCAGGGCCAGAAGGAAGCTGTTTCCAGGGAGATGACCCTCAGCAACATGTGGATATTCCTCATTCAATGCTTCGCATTTTTGTCAGGCTACATGTGGTACAGCATCATTCAGTATTTTTACCATTGCCTATTTTAGGAACTGACTTGGACTTGTCACCATAGGAGTTCAGACTTTCATATGTGTGCGTTCTTTTACATGTGCAAATCAAAATGTATAAAAAGCAGCGGAAATTCAATGGATGGATTCATGTTTATCCCCCTTTGGGATATTTTAAAACTCTGCTATGATGAGGATCAGTAATACAATAATGTGCTAATATATTTTAAGAACTTTTCATGTTTTAAAGAGATACCCTCTACCATATATTTAAGCAAACATCACCCTTGGAGAAGAGGAAATCCTAAAATCATCCTAGAAGACTGAAAGAACTGTTGCCACCAGATGCACGTGGGCACCGAGTTCTGGCTCTGCCATGCCCCTCCCTTCTAGCTGGTTGTCAGTGTTAGGGCAAAGCTCCGCAGAGCCCTCGTGTCACTCATCCTGCTGCGGTACTAGTAGCCTGGGGAGCTGGCGGGCACGACCCGAGGAGCGGTTTCCTTGTCTAGTGAGCGGCAGTTCTCAACCCAGGTTGAGGCGCAGTGTTGGCATTCTCTGAGGAAGCCATGTCCACCAAGCACCTGACGTCACTGTGCTCCTTCAGAGGCTAGCTCCATCCAGCACCATGTTTACATGCGACAGTGCTTTTCCTTCAGTTGAGGGGGAACACACCCACTTTCTCCTTTTGTATAGAAGGCATATCATAGAATAATAATTGTGTTTTACAAAATGCGCTTTTATCAGATGCAGACGTAGCAAAGGTAGGAACATAGCCTGAAACAGAGGGAAGCCTCATCTGTGAGCCCCAGGAGGCTTTCCTGTCCACACGCTTGCCCATGATGCTCTCCGGCACCACCCTCATTGGTCACCTCTGTGACCCCAGGACCCTGTTGGTAGCTGGATGCCCCCCTCCCCCATTTTCACAGAGTAGCACCAAATACATTTTGGAGTGGTTAAAGCAAATTAAAACATACAAATGATCACTTTAAAGGGAAATAGGCTAGTATTTTAGGGAAATAAGAGGTAGAGCCAGACCTTGGCTTGCAATATTGAAAAGGCCTCCTATGACCCCCCCCTTCCCCGCCGAATCTGCAGACATCAGGGAGTCCTGTCGTTACATCAAGCAGCTGCCCCTCTCAGGGTGGCAGAACCAGGAGACAGCATCGCAGAAGGCTTCCAGTCTCTTCCAGTTGTTTTTGAAGAAGGCAAAGTTAAGTTTCTATTATTTCTAGAAAACTTTTTTTTTTATTTGTCACTTTGTTCATGTGATTTACCTCATAGGAAAACCAAACTCTGCATAAAGTGTGGGCACTGTGTCAATGTTGGTCCAAGGTGGTTTTGGTCAGGAGGATTGTAAGACCCCTAAGACCCACTAAGCACTAAGCGTTAGTCCGTGGCAGCTTTCTGTGACATAAGCTCTGTAGATTCTCCTGTTGTCATTACACACAAATAACAATTTTGAGAAGTAGGTTGTAAAGCAAAAATAATGATTGTTTTCTGTTTTCAAATAAACCAAAAAAATGGAAAAGATGCTAATTTTCTCCCAGTTGTGTGGGAAAGATCGAGCAACACCAAATAAAAGCCCATAGTAGCTTCATCTCTGAGGTGGCTAGAGCATGTGTGACAGACAGCATGTGTCAAGTTACTTGAAATACCTCACTGAGGAGTGCACCACTGCTGTTGAACTGCAGAGTGTGCCTGTTTTGCTAGCAGTTCTTATAAAACACACCTTCTGTGAACCTAAGCGTTTCACTCTGTGCTACAGTGACAGTGAATAGTTGAAATCAGTGTCACTTTGGAGATGATAGGAAGCCAGAGAGGTTGTTTGGTGCCCCTGTTTGAGGCCTAGGAGAAACTACTCAGTTGCAGGGTGTATTGACTTGACTGTGACATTAGTTGGCCATCCAGGGGAGAAGCTGCTCACTGTCAAGTACAGCATGTACAGTACTCGCTAGCAAACTGTTTCCTCATTGCAAAGCAAGCCACAAACACACACACACACACACACACACACACACACACACACACACAGAGACGTGTGTCGCTGGGCCACTTTCGCCATTATTGTGCTCCAAAGGAATACGACAGTTCAGTATACTGTACACATTAAACACTCTCTCCTGAAAGATGCTTTACTTTTCAAACACAGTATTAGGTTAGGGTCAGTGTCTCTAGCGTGACAGACACCTATGGATTTGTGAGTTGACTCTGGTAATAGATACAAGTTGTAAGTAGTTGTGTCTCTGATCTGTCCTACCTGTCTTTGTTTCTTTTGACTTGCTATCTCCTGTCTGAAAACATGTTTGCTTGGGAGCACTGGCAGTGCTTCCTTACCAGCACCTGGAGTCCACCTGCTCATACCTGGGGATGTAGAGAGAACCCTGTTCTTTTATGGAGATCTTGGGATGCAGCAATATGCTACGGTATAGAATTGAATAAAATGTCCTATTTGTGCTTTCTGTGTAGAGTGAGATGAAAGGAAGCCAATACAAGTAGTCAACAAATCCATGCCAGTTCTTTAGCAGTGACTCTTTAGAATCTCAGCACTTCTTGCTCTCGACTGGACTGCGTAGCTTCCTGTTGTGTACAGGGTGGGCAACTCATCTCTGGGGTCCTGCTGTCAACAAATCACAGGGATGGGGTGTCTGCTTGGCCACAAGCAGGTTCACAGACTACAAATGTGGACCAAGAAGCAGCTTCCTCTCCCTTCAGAAAGGACTGATGTTGACATGTACACATATGACAGAGAAACTGTAAGGGACGCAGCATGAGGGAAAGTGAGAAAATGAAACTGTGAGTGGACAGTTGGGAACTTAGTAGACAGTTTAGAAAAGAGTTCAGATGTCATAGTATCACATAGTTTTTGGTATCCCAACTCATAATTTTCTACAGTAAAGAAACTGGGAATTACTGAATGATTAGTCAATTACTGGGTAGTTAATTCAGTAGTAAGTCATAGGGAAACCAAAAATTAAAGCTCTGTGTAGGAGTTTGAATTTTTGCTTTTGTCAAAATTTTTTCCTTCTAAGGATGCTTACGATTTTAAAAAGTGATTTTCATTGTTTGACTAATTAGTTTTTGCCTGTGTATTGATGACTGTTAATAAGTAGTGAGTGCCATGGAAAGGAGGGTAGCCAGCAGGAAGAGAAAGTGCTGGACTGCATTGCCGAGGAGCCAGCACCCCTGAGCGGTGTGCAGTTGGCAGACTGACGCCATTCTGAAGGGGAAAGCTTACGTTGCCCTCAGTTCTAGAGCTGCTGTCTGGACGGATCTTGGGAATGCCACTTGGTGTGTGGCCATGTCGCTCCCTTCTTCTCATGGATTTGTCTTAGTAATGTGTTTTGACAATCACCTCCTTAAAGACCCTTGGTGACTCTTGGTCCTGGTTGTAGTCACAGAAAGCAGTCTCTGGTCGCAGTGTTCTTCTGTTCTTTCAGACCTAAAAAGATGTTTTATTTGCACTACTGAATGGGAAGAGTTAACTGATCTTTTGTGGTTTTTCATTCTTTTCTTTGAAGTCACTACACAGTAATGAACACAGGACTCACTCCAGAGCTATTACAAAAAACTATGTTTGCTCTGGTCCACAAAAGATGGATAATAATGGTTTGCTGTGTGGGATTTTGCTCTGCAAGTACTACAAACTTCGCATCTGCCAGCAGGCAGGGCAAAGTCAGAAGGAGCACTGGGCAAAACAGGAAAACTAGTTCATTTCATAAGCCGTAGAGACTAATAGTTTGGGACCAAAACCACCTAAGGTGGAGATTTCTGGATCACAAAAGGGCCTGGCATCCTCAGGAGCATCACTGGTTGGTGCTGCGTTGTGATCATTTTGCACCAATTCCCAGTAATTAGGAAGTGGGCTCTGGGAATGTGTTGTAGGTGCTGAACTGTTGGGGGAGAGTGACCGTGGCCATACAGAAAATAAAATGTGGGATATTCTGCAAAATTTCCATCTGAGGATTTTTACATTTAATATTTTTTTAAAACAGTCTAAAGAGCAAAAAAAAAAATTAAGTGTATTCTAGTTGCAAAGTATGCAAACATTTTGAATGGCTTTATTTTTATCGTGTAAAACTGTTGAACACATGACTCTGGTGCACAAATTCTTTACATGGAAGGATTCTATGCATTTTACAGTAACGTATCATATGACTGAGTAATGAGACAGTTATACATCCACCTGCCATTGTTTTTGTTAAGCGCTTTCACTTTCTTTAATTATTATACAGTTGTATTTATTTTGTACGGACGGGTTTTTGTTTCCCTGATGCTGTAACGTTTACTTCAGCTTGTTGAGCGTTCTTGTGATCTGCATGTGGTAGTGTGTGGAAAGAATGAATGTAAAGGCGTGACAAATGTCACTCACTTCTGTAAAGGGCTGGTCACATGTGGCTCTGGTTTCTGAATGCACTGGGGATGGTTTTACCAGATCACCTGTTCAGAAATTTAGATGTTGTGAACACCAAAAGAAGCATTTTCTCAGCAAAAAATTAATAGCTGGTTCTATTTTTTTTTTAATGTAGAGAAAATAAAGTTGATTTTTTTTTTTCCAAAAACAGTGCTCTTAATTCCTGTCTTTGGTCGTGAGCTTGAGCCTTTAATGGTTGAGCCATCGCTCCAGCCCAGTGCTTTGATTCTTCATAGTGGGGACAGGGTATGGTTTCCAGCTATTCAGCACTAACCCTGCAGGCGTGCACCCAGAGCCCAGCACTAAGTGGCATGCTGAGGGTGAACAGAAACGCCAAGTGAGAAAAATCATCGGGCTTCCTTCACAGGCTTAAGGGGTTTGCCCCCTTCATTCCCTTCGTTCAGTGGTGTGCTGGTAAATGCTTAACAGTCCTCTCTCCAGGAAAAATTATGTATATACGTACACATAAATTTGTGATAAATGTTGTTGATAACAGGAATATATAACGCAGTTAACAAGTAATAAAATAATATCGTAAGTTCCATATAGCCAATTGATTTTCATACATACTTAATTTTGTTGACCCCTCATAGCCAACCATAGCAACCATGATTTGATTGACAGTATTCTGTCCTAATATACTAACTTCCTCCTCTCCCAATAGACTGTCATTCAGTCTAGTGTGTGACTTACTATTAAACGCTTACCCTGCACAAAACCTCCTTTTAGCTTCAACAGTAATTGGAACTTAGATACTTGTAATAACAGTTTTAACAACTGCTGGCAAAATCCTGAAATTAAATATCTTAGGAGCAAGTAGAATCCGCCTCCAGCACACCACTGTCCTGTCTTCTGTGTATGTTCTAACTGTAAGTGTGCAGTAAAATTCTCATAGTCACTCACTCATCTAAGAAAAATCCTATCATCGACCCCAGTGCTTTACAGCGGGAAAAGCACTAAGATCAACCCTACCTGAGTGAGCTTTTGATTTTGAAGAGTCTGACAAAAGCAAACGTTTTATGACGTAAGGGGAAAGCCAGCATACTTTATTTCTCAAAGCTGTATGAATACGGTGGTTTACCCGAAGGTTTCTCTAAGCATTAAAAACATTGTTTATTTGCTTGTTTGAAGAGTGTTTAATCTCATTGAAAATTTTTAATGTATTGAAATATCTTGTACAATCTGCCAAATAAGTTAAATAGTTACAGTTCAGTCTACCTCTTCTTTTTCTGGCTGGGTTTGGGCTGCTGGTTGGGTGAGAGGGGTTTGTGTTTCCCTCTAAAAGCACTTTATGTGAGCAACAGCGTACCTTGCGGCAGAGGCCTGAAAGCAGGTGGAAGGCTCTGGAGATGTGTTGCTGACCAGCCCCGTTCCCCATGAGTTGGGAAAAGTCATTGTTTTAAATTCCCACTTAATATGAAAATGTTTGTTTTTAAATGTTTCTTACTGGTGAGAAATGTATTTTTAAAAAGAAAAACCAAATCCTCATTTGGTCTGAAAGGTCAGCAGTCTGAGCAGATGTGACCACATCATAACAGGCTGACATGATAGACATCAATAAATTCTTACTTCTCAGGAATCGGGTACCCTTGTTCTTAACTCTCGGATGCTGAAAAAACACAAACTCTAAGTCTCCAGTTTGGGATGCACAGAAACAGACACACAGGTGCAACATGGGAGGAGGGCTGGCTGACCATTGAAAGTGAGATGACTCCTTTCAGAATCAGAAAAGCCTTCACAAGTCCACTGTATAAGAAAGGACTCCTGGGGCTGGAGAGATGGCCAGCTGTTAAGAGCAGTGGCTGCTCATGCAGAGGACCCAGGTTCGATTCCCAGCACCGACATGGCAGCTAACAACTGTCCTTAACTCCAGTTCCAGGGGGTCTAACACCCTCTTCTGACTTGCGCAAGCATTGCACGACTTGGGTGCACTTACATGCAGGCTATACACAAAATGAAAATAATAAAATATATTTAAAAAAAGAAAGAAAGAGCCCGAAACGCTTCTTTGTTTTTGGGTTTTTTGTTGTTGTTGTTGTTTTTTTTGGTCTTTTTGAGACAGGGTCTCCCTGTAGCCCCAGCTGGCCTCGAACTTACAGAGATCTGCCTCCCAAGTGCAGACTGCCTTTGGGGTACTTCCTGCCTCAGGTGTGAGACAGTCTGGAGCTGGAGACTGCAGTGGTCACTGCTAAACTGAGCCAGGAGAGGACAGCCATCCTCAGGAATCTCCGGGTGCCCTTCCTGGTGTCATTGAGAAAACATGGAAATGAGGATCATTTCCTAGAAGATCAATTATTAATTATTATGTGTTCATTCTTTTAGTTCACTTTGCATGCAGAAATCAAATCTTATCTGCAGTTTTCTGCCAGTTGGCACTGTATCAGGACCAGCAGATGGATAATTGAAAGGAAATAGGTTCCCTGAAGGGGAGAGATGAGAAGAGCTAGGATGCTGGGAGGAGGAACCCAGGAGTATGGGAGACAGAAGGAAGGTGGACGGCTGTTCACAGCAAGTGAACGCACCCCAGATACACAAAGACTGTAACTGATGGTAATGCTAAGAAAGTCAACTTCCATGTGCTCTAAAGAGTGCCATTCGTGAATCCCTACCTTCAGGGATGTCTCCTCCCATTTCAAGTGACTGTTCCCCTGTATAGGAGAGAGACTTACCTCAGCCTTAGACATCTCCCTCAGGAGGCCCAACAAAGGAACAATTCACAACACTGATGACTCAGGCCCTTCGGGTAAACAAGGAGACTCAGCCCACAGTAGAGCCTTTGTCTTTCTCTGATGTGTCCATGTTCCAGTAAGGTCAAAGGAGGGCATCAGAATCTGGGCCTGTCTTGAATACCTTCAGTTCTGATGCAGTGTGGGGCACTGGGCAGTGGCAGCTCAGGGCCTCCAAAAGCATAAAAGTAGAAGCCACCAAGACTCAGTAGAATCTGGGCCCAAGAGCAGCCTCGCCTCACCGTTGTTGATGTATTCTTTGATTAAAGTGAGTCATAGTCCAGCTGTGGTATGGGAGGGTCTACAAAAGGGTGAGTGCCAGCAGGAGCAGCTGGTCAGAAGCCATCTATGAAGATCAGCTACACTGTAAAGCATCCACAGCTATTTGAATGAGGACATTGGTTAGAACCATAAGAGTTCTCACACTTGGCAAATTTGCCTACAATGTCTATCAATTGGAAATGTGAATCTCCAGATATTTGAAGGTTAGATCTATTGTACTGTCACAACTCAGTCGTGTGAGACATATTACTCATATGGACACGTAGCAAAAAGAGTTTTTAGTACTTGCCTTGCATGCACAAGGTCCTGGGTTCAAACCCTAGAACCACAAAAATAAAAAGATTGATTTTTCTAGACATGGTAGGGCATGCCTATAAACCCAGCACTCAGGAGGATGGAAAGTTAAAGAGTAGCCTGGGCTACATGGTGAGTTGGAGACCAACCTAGGCTACAGAATGAGACTTTGTTTCAAAAACAATAGAGGTTTTGTTGGAGAGCTCTGTGATTTATGGCACTGGTTGGCACAGGGCTCATTGGCTCTTGGGGTTTCAGAGCTGGTAGGAGCTTTGATAGGACCTTCCCTCAGGATGGTGAAGTTCTCTATGTGATTTCGATCCATAGCCAGGAGACTCAAACAGCTGCCTATAGAATTGTGAGGACTTGAACCAGCTCTCTTCACCCCCATTCATGTTTTCCCAGAACATCAGGTGATTTCTGTTGAGGTCTCTGGTTTCAGTAAATAAGAGTTAAATGCCAAGGATTAAGTACACATGAAATAATAATAATAATGGGGTGATGGCTCTCAAAATTCTAGTTTCTTCTTCCTCAGTTCTAAAGTAAACATAATAGTCCCCAAACCCTAAAGGATAACTTCTTAGAAAATGTCCCCCATCTCTGGCAGAGGCAGTTAACCACTGAGGATGTCTGAAGCCCATGGCTTTTCTCTCTTTGGTTGTGAAGGTGAAGTGCAGTTTGCTTTCTGTCGTGCCTGTGTAATAGAAGAGAAAGGCCTTTCAGACCAAAGGGAAGAGAGTGCAGTCGCACAGTTCCTGGTGCTTCCAAATTCTAGGTCTGAAACTGGCAGAGAGTGATCAGTGGCACCTGGTGCCCTGTGTTGTTCCATCACAGCACTGTTAAGTTCAAGATTGTGTCCAAATTGGAGCCCGTAGAAGAGAAGCAGGATCTGGGGCTGTGCCTGCAGCTTGCACCGACTATGCCCTGGGCAAGCTTCTCTCAACTTCATTCTCCTGTGTTGGGAAACTTTAGAAGAGTGGTTTCGGTATTAAGTGAGATACTGTACTTGAGGCACACTGGACACTTAACACATTGTGTTGAAGGCTCACTAAGGAGGCTGTGTGTCCGCCCCAGCTGGGCTCAGTAGAGAATGTGAATTGTTTCCACTGTGCCTTAACTCCATTGTATCGTGATCACATAGGCTGTCAGGGCCCACAGGCCTATTTCCCAGAGCCCTGGGCCCCCTGAGCTCCTAACAGACAACACTAATGCACAGCCACACTGATGACCTCACATAGACTGATTCTAAGGCCCCCAGATGGCAGCGGGCGAGGTCGGAGAAGCAATTAGGAGGGTGAGGTGACCAGAGCTCAAAGAAGGAACTGGATCTGCTAGACAAAAGACATCACACTCTTAATGGGGCCTATTTTTGCTTCTGAGACATGATGTCATATGGTAAAGACCTTGAACTAATTATCAGAGGGAGGGAAATATAATTTTTAGTGTTTGGAAGCTGTCCGCCAGCTATGGTCTGCTCTGTGTAATAATTCATACGAGGTTAAATAGAGTGCAGCGTTGAATGCGCCCTGAAGCTTCTGGGGCCAATACTGGGAAGCTTTGCCCTTCCTAGTTGCACACCGAGTCTGACATTATTACCTTGACATTTGATGGTGTCCCCACTGGTAAGTTCTGAGTGCTCCAGTCTTAGGAATTGGGGTACCACAGGAAGCACTACCCTACTAACGTATGAGGGTAGACTGCAAAGGGACTTGAGGCCGGGTTGGGGCAGCAGGTGCTGGACAGGAGTAAAGAGCTGTTCTTACACGTTGGAGGTGCAGGGCTAG